ATAAAGACTTATTTTTTAATGAAAAGGAATATTGTATGTTTACATTATAAAAAAAGCCTGTGCATTTTGTGAAGTGTAAAACCAAAGAAAATACTTACCTTGACTAAAACAGAATGTTCCAACCAAGGTCCAAATTTAGTTTTGTACAGATCCACCTACTCCGTATATTTCTTCTGGATGATCAGCTGGGGAGAGAGTGAGCTAAGTTTCAAAATACAACTCTAGCTAGAATCATATGGCTGATGATTGGTAAGAATATATGTTCAAAACACAGAAGTAATATTCTAACAAATTTCTTTCTGTATATCCAAGGCTAGCCACTTTTTCATTTTAATGCTGTCCTAACTAGCTCACCATGTAAATCCAAACAGATTCACAAATCTCTGCAAGATACAGAAAAACCAGCATAAACAAAGAAGTTACCCTAGTAAAAATACATTACTTACCATTTATTAGCATATGGAAAAGTGGAGACAATTTTGGTTTCATAATTAAGAGAGCAGAGGTATGGGTCCCTGAACTTTTTGTTTTGCACACAAGAGTTCGAATCTCTTGATGAAGGGCACCGTTAGAACATAAAGCATGTTTCTGTTTAGTTTGATGTCTGTATACACATCTCAGCCAATAAAATATTAAGGCTGTTCTACATGAGCTTTCCTAAAAGTCAAAGAAATTGTCAAAGAACTTGCCAAAAATACTGGTGTACCACATTTCCACTACCTATGATACACAGCTCAGAAAATAACCTTGACTGAGAACAGAGTGAATCCAGTCTGCTGGAAAATGTGGACCCTGGGACAAACTTGCAATTTTGCTACCTGCAAATACCTTTAACTGATACTAACTAAATCACAGGATTTTTTTTCTTTTAACTCATAGAAGATAATATATGAAAGTATAGTAATTAGCACTATTCCAAATAAAGAAGATAGGTCACAGTAATTTTTAAGTGTGTTAAGTAAACAACTAGTAATTTGAGGAGATACTGCACATGACTGGGAACATGGTGAAGATCAACATATTTTAATAATGGCTCCCAAAGAGGACAGAAGTGGAAAGCAAATTTGCAGGATTAAGATGGGGTCATATTAAAATCTGATAAGGACAAACCTAAGTGTTAATGGCTCGCAGAACAATGACTGCTACTTACAGGAGCCCAGAAGATACAGTCAAAAGAACAAATCAGTCACAAATCAGTCTAGAAGTTTAGGCAAAGGCTTTAATGAATCTTCAAGTGCCACTTAGCTCTAGGTTTGCTACCAAATTTTCAAAGCTGGGGAAAAAGAATGTTTCATTAAAAAGCATGGATGAGATTTTTTGAGCACTTCATATCTTAGCAATTGGCATCATCCGTTTTTCAGTTTTAAATTAGCATGGTACTGTCTTGGTCAATTGTGTGAGCTTGAATAAGAGCTGATATTAGTAGGATGCTTCCCTTTTTATTTAGCAATATTGTTGTTACTAAATTTATTATTTAAAAATTCTGTTTTAAAAGTAATACCATCACTTTAACCCAATAATTTGATTAGTTTTATTTTTCCTTTGTAATAATTTCAATATTTTGACATTTTAATAAAAAGTGGACAGTCAGGGCCTAGGAAACTTGATTACAGCACCATTATGGTGTCTCACCATAAGCTTATTTTCAGTTTCCTTAGAGAAACTCTGCACAGGACCGTGGCAGATGATTTTAAAACAGCTTAAACTGCAGAGCATAAATCACAACACCTCATTAGAAAAGTCTGTTACCTTCATGAAACTTACTTCTTTTGGGGAAGTCTGGAAATCAACTATAATGAATTTTTGCTCTTGAAAGAGCTGGAAGATAGAATGATAATTTATGCATTGTATCATGCTGAGACTGACCAAACAGGCCAATTTGATGTAATTCTGTACTGCAAGCATATTATTGCCCTTTATTAGAAAACCAACCTAGAAGGTTGCAGAGAACTTTTTCCACTGGAAAAAAAAAAAGTTTTTTTGTACTACCCTTTCATATCTACCAGGTGTCTAGCAAACCTGTTTTAAAAAGTTAAACTCCCATATATACATTTTTGATCCCAGAATGTCCTCACATATGGCAGTGTCATCACAGAGATGAATAAATATGTTATTGCATTGAAAGACAAACTAACAAAAAAATCATTATACTCTCTAAATATATACCTTTACAAATGGCTTAATTTGTTTCCAACACTACAGAATTGTAAATTAATTTACATATACTGTATACAAGCAGGTTTGAGAACATCAGCATCTTCTGTTTGGTTTTGGTTTTTCTTTTTTTTAAATCACATTTTCTTTATGTAAATGAAAGAAAAAAAATCCTCATTTCTACTGGACTTAAAGACAGCTGGTTCTTTCCAGCTGAGACCATCAGTAGGGTATGTTTCACACCTAACAACTCAGCTGCTACTGAAAGTCTGAATGTAATTCAGCCAGCTCCTTAGAGAAGCCTGGATGAAGTAAAACAGAATAAGAACATTGCACCAAACTGGAAAGTACACTTAAAAAAACTGAAGTTCTTTCATGAAAGTGGCTTTATGGGTAAAAATATTACTATTTTGTTTGAAATGTTGTATATTTAATATGAGCCATGATAATTAATGAAATAGTAATTTTAACTATTACAGCTTTGAGTTAAAAACTAAAAAACCACAGGAACATTGCAAAACAGTACTTGACAAATTAGAATGAAAGAAATCCTCCCTAAGATGAATCCTGTACCAGAAAAAAAACCCTGTAAATTACAGAGAATATGAACAGAGTATTTAGCATTAAAATCTGAAATCCTTGGCTACAAAAGAACAGAATTTCAAATTATTCTCCTCAGCAGTTTGTAAGAACAGAAAACATCACATAACTATTTCCCATTCCCACTGTTACCAGCATCTACTTTCTAAATTTTAAAGAAAAAAAGTAACAATTCAGAACTGAGAGCATTCGTCTTTTCTTCACCTGTAGGAAAGAAACCATTAACATACAACACTCTAATAGCTGGTTATAAAGTATGATTGGATTATGAAATTAATTGAAGAGATTCCAGCAGCTTGTCTCAGTAACATATATGAGGCAAAAAACTCTCTCTACGTTTCCTGCCCACCCCCCAACCCCAGGCCTGTACACTGTTCTTTTTTCATTACTTCTGCAGTAGTTTAACAAGACAGTTTAAAAGCCAGCTAAACAAGCAATGACTATATGGATGTCAAGGAAGAAAATTCAAAAAAGTCAATAAGGTCTGATCTATAAACATGTTCTTGTAGTCTGAATGAAAAATATTTTAAAAAGACTTAATTTCACACATTAACCAGATTTTTATAGCAACTTATTACTGAATTGTTTCAAGCAATATAGAACATCTTCTTCATAACTGCATAGCAAGCTTTTTGAAGCACTCATCAGGATGTCAGCCTAATAATACTGTAATTACTATGACACCTCCCAGTTACTGAGTTATCTGATCATTTTCCTTCCATATTTTACAAAGTGTCATGGGAAAGTGACTCAATGTTTCTACTTGCAATTTCAAACCTCAGACTTTGTATACAAGCAAAAATTCAAAATTAATTTCCAAAAGGCAAAATCTGTCAAAGCACTGAAACAAACACAAACAAGTTTAGTTCAATCCAGTTACTCTGGCTCAGCTTCTACCACAGTTTACCACCTCAAGTTTTATAAATCAAAACAAGATAAATTCCACCACACAGCTCAATTTAACAAAGATATAAAAATACCATGAACTTCAGCACACTGATCTCTCAAGCACAAACACAAAGCAGTTATGTGATGGCCTGGAGATGTGGCTGGTGTCAGAGGCCAAGACCTCTAGCCAGGTTTAAGACTTGCAGTCCACCCAAAGATAAATTACATTACCCACCCATGCTCCAAGTCTATTAAAAATTATTCAGGTTTCTTCTTTAGAATAATTTAAGGAGGACAGTTGTTAGTTCTATATAACCTAAAGAGATTGGTTTCTTATAACATGAAAGGATAGCATAAGCCTATTTGTAAAGAGGGAAGAACTTAATATACACATTAACAGATTTAACACTCATCAGTAACTCTTTCTGCAGATCTATTAAAATACACATCTAGATGTCTGTTAAAAGAATTCCAGGAAACCCACATAACTATTTACTATGACAAAGTCTTGATTGTTTAGCACACAGAAGTGTACTGGGGATCATGTACTAGAAAGATCATCCACCAGGAATAATTATTTCCACATAATTAATAGGCATTTTAGCTGTGACTACTACCATGTGCACAAACAGTTCAGCTGAACTGTGACTTCAGTGCCCAGACAACCTAATACGCACTGAGATATCCTACTTAATGCCTGCTGTGAAATTATCCCTAGTTCTGCCCCTGCCCTTTTTCATTCTTTTTTAAATTCATTTTACAGCTTTTCAAGTGATAATCTCCTAAGAACTTTCCTGAAAGACACATTTAAAAGCATCTAAAGAGTTGCTTCATAAAGCAAGCCTACTATTGAAAAGTCCTGAGCGGCTTCAATTCAATTCTCAACAAAAGGATTAGAGAAAAAATACAGACTAAGATATACTTTAAAACAGACTGCAGGGACTTTGATTGGCTTTTAATCTGAATTCTGCAATAGAGATTGTTGAGGACAGTAACTCTTTCGGATTCTCTTGACAAAATATAAAATACTCAGCATCTTACTGAAGCATTTCCAGATCTCTATGATCCTGACACAGATTCCCAAAGAAAAGAAGGTACAAGAGAAGAGTTCCTCATGTTTAACAGATTATTGCAATTACCACAAAAAGGTAAGGATTTCTGACCACAAAGTATTCCAATCGGAATGTAGACAGAAAAAGTACTCAGCTAGTTCGGGGATTTCAAGACCAATTTGCACAATTAAGATTTTAAGTATTTATTTACAGTCGAAAGGTTTTATCCAGTAATATATAGCTTTACCCAGTAATATTGTTTACTCTTTACTATAGGTAGACAAATAATAAAAAAACAACAACAAAGCCTTTAGAAATACAGTTAAATTTTATTTTTGTTTCCAGTGATAATTAAAATAGGTTTCTTACAATTCCGTTCACTATTTCAGCTCTTGAATCGGCTGGTGCTCATCAGGGCCCACCTCTTCTTCTTCATTCAAGTCTTCTTTTGCTTTTGCATCTGTCACCTCAGGGTGACTGCAGGCAGCATCCTTAGCTGAGAGCTTTTTCATTCTGATGTTTGGCAGTTTCTTTAGATCACCATCCCATTCTCTTAAAGAGAAAAAATAGGTAATGAAAACCAATTACCAATAGACAGGAAGGAATGGCAGAGTTAATTCACATTTCCTCAGAAGATGCTAACTCAAGTGAGGCTGCTTTTCTAACTCATCCTCTGTCCCACTATGGTATGAATAAGCACCAAAGATTTCACCTGATTTTGTACACTACAGAAGATGTAATTTCTCTATGAAGAAATAAGTACTTTCAGATGTGATATTCTGAAACAAAAATATATATACTTTATTCCCACTGATTTATTGTACCCTCATTTACTTTTGGCCACCTGCTTTTAGGTTTGTCTTACTCAACTTGCAGTCTGGTAAGGAACAGAAAAACACGTCAGAAGAGTTTCTTCATCTGGATGCTTGATTTGCATATCTGACATCACATGTACGTAAGTCCCTTGTGATTTATGGTAAATGTTAACATTCTGTATGACTAACTTCAAGAGAACACAAAGGGTTAGTAAACATTAGTTCACTTGGTGAGTGTATTATTTCAAAAGGCTACATTAAGGAGAACAGGTTGTTTTAAACAGAAGTGAAAGCCAGTAGTCACTTAATAGAATGCTTTCTTGATTATAGTAAGTGCACTTCATGGATAATTTTTCTCAAGGGCAAAGACAGTATTTGCCAATTATAAGATAGGTTTTTCCTTTAACAAAGCAATACAACAACAATTCTATCTGATGTCCCTGTTTACGAAGTCAATTGCATATTTATAAATACAGCAGTCTCTCTTTGGAATTTCTGGCTTTGTTCCAACATCCTGTAAGTATGACTTCTGGCTACATACCATCCCTGCAAGTTGGTGATACAGCATTACTTGCAACATAAGCATTCCTAAGTTGTTTTTGTTTTCTTCCTTTAAAGGATTTCACTTGATAGAGCTGTCAGCAAAAATGCTCACTCAATCTACTACCAGGACATACCAACATGCTGGCCCAGATGAGCCAGCAGCAAGTTTCACAGCTCCCAGATCTTTTAACTGAATGCAAGTTGTAAATTCATTTAAGATTTTCAACTCGTATATACACACATATCAACACTACTGTAAACAGCTGAAGTCAGAATTTTAGGTAAAATATTATCTAAGAAGATTGAGAAAAAATGTTATGTAAGTTATAGATATGGCATTCTAACTGTCAAATCTAAATCTTCCAATGTTTTAGTTAATAACTGGCACAGGTGTTCAGCTTATAACAACTAAGAAATGCCAAAATAGCAGTGCCATACCTACTCTACTTTTTCAAATGACAAATTCTTTGGCAGTTTTGCCTATGTTCCTTTTTTTAAAAAAAAAGACATATAACAGGTGAACTTCAGAAACACTATTTTGCATAAACAGATTATTAGTGATAACAAAAAACATACCTGAAAAATTTAAGATGCTTTCTGTTCATAATGTCTGGAATTTCTAATAAGAAAGAAATTAAATTCTATTAGATGTGTTAAATTAATCAAGTGAGTCTCGTTTCAAAGGAATAAATGTGAGCTAAATGGCCTCTAACCAAAATGGCTACATACCTCCTTTTCACTGCAACCAAACTGCTCTAAAAAAACCCCACCATATATATATATATATATATATATATAAAATAAATATAAATAATAATACAAATAAAACAATAATATAGAACAATAATACATACATATCTATATTACCTTTGCTAGTAAAAAGGAAGGCAAATATTTTGTATTGAGACCTGTGGAACAGACCATTTAGCTTTTTTCCTTCCAGAATAGCCAAAGTCTTCCTAAAAGAGCGTAATTTATAAATTTAGGCAGATTTTTACATTGGATGCCAAAGCTGCTTTGCCATTCTGTGTCATTCTTTTCTTGGTCAGTCCTGCAGTGTTACAAGCAGCCTGTGTTTAACATCACCACTAATTTATGGAGGTTTATACCTCAGGAGCTTTGACGTCTTACCACAGTATAAAACACCTCATTACTGTCTATAAATTGTACAGATTTCACAGCCAACAGGCTCTCAACAAGTCAGATGTTTTCTACCTCTGTAACATTAAATCCACTTTATTTTAGCTCTTAAAATTGTGACATTTCAGCAACTTTTATATTGTTCTTGAACGAAGAGTTCTGTTTTTGTTCATCTATCAGTTTCCTCAAGTTTTACAGGACTAAATAAAATCATGCTATCAATGCAGGATTATGGATGATTTTGCTACTATAAAACATAGGATGATACCTGTACCATTTATCTTTGTAGCCAGACAATCCTTACTATTCAGAAAACTATTCCTTCCTTTCACAACTGGTTATGAAGTTACCAACTGAAGAACAATAATATATGCAAAATGTTTTGATAACAATGACAGTGATTTCTGCAGACTGCTCCTCAGTAAACAGATGAGGTGACACTGCTCACAGCTGAGCAAGGCAAGGCAAAGAAACATTTACCTAATGCTTTTTTGGTCTGTTGATTCCTTGGTTTCATGCCACAATCCATGCCAACTATCCATGCCACATTAGGTCCATCCTTCCCAATAAAGCCTTGAAACAAAGCCATGGTTGCTCTTACTTTCTTGAACTGCATTCATGGAAGCACAGTGGCAAAGGCTGGAACATCCCAGCTCCCACGAGGGAAAGCAGTTCTTCCCTTCTCCCAGGTATTTTACAAGGAGCAATTAGTGCTACTCCATTTGCCCCTAGTAATGCATGTGGTGATGTCAACAGCGAGTTTGGCAGACAATGTTTATATCATCAGATACAATGCTTATACCATCAGATAATGTTTATCTATCCAGGGTTCACCAACATCATGAGAATGCAAGCACTCTGAAAGAATATTCTGTGACAAACCAAGATTCGGCACTGGCATCATTATTGCTTTCGCAGTGGCAACATTTTTAATACAGTTACATATGTGTTTACAATATGTTACACAATAAAAACTACTGAGTTGCAAGATTAAGAATAGAACTGTGTGTAGAAATAAAGTAATTATATACTACACAGTAACTGATTTTCTAAATTATGCTGGATTAGCAACACTTGTCTAACTCAGCTGCATCTCCTTAGCATGCAACACTGCCATGTTTTTTGCTGCTGCTTGTGAACTCCTTAATTTGTGTTAAAATGTTAAGTCACAGGAGCATGTTTTTCTGAACTAAAGAGTAAGAAAAATATAAGAGAAAAATGGAACAAGAATCAGTGGCACAGAAATGAAGACAGTATTTTGGGGAGTAGATTGTCTGGCATTTCTAAGACAAAGTAGTCAACAATTTATACATTTAGCAAAACAGCAGTGAAAAAGATGTAAACATAAGCAAACATTTTTTAATGTTTCTGACCCTTTCAGATAGTTTTTCTTTCTTTTGTGGATGAACAAACAGCTTGTTAAAAAGAAGGAAACCGTAGATGATCTTTAAGCAAAAAATTACTTGGTTACACAATAATGATCACTACAGAAAACAGTAGCTACTGTATAGTACATAAGTTACATTAGCAGATATGTAGAAATTATACAGCTTTCATCTGAATTAAATTGATTTCCCTGTAATGTGAAGCCTCCAGAACTAATTAATAAAACTAGTGTATTTAGTTTTAAAAGCCACTTTTCCCCAAGATTAGTATTATGTATCTGAGAGAACATGCAAGGTAATTAGAAGCAATTATCAAAAATAGATGTTTGCATTAAATAATTATCATGCTTTTCCACTGAAAGCATACTGACTCTGGGTTACAAATAAATAAATATCTAGCATTGCCTTTCAATAGCTTTGCTATAAACATGTAAAACCAGATTAAACAGAAAACCCAAATACACAAAAATGAAAACAAGAGGGAAGATAACTGCAATAAAACTATTGTAGATATATTTAAGGAGTAAGGACAAGGAGCTGCTAAACCTCAACATCGCTGATGTTGCCTGTATAACTACTGCTTGTTTACAAAAAGGCTAAAATTTGCAATATTTCGGGATGTCTGCCACTTCTGTAAACAAATGCTTCCATTTTCTAAAGGATTTGTTTTTCATTTACATATATCCTTGACAGGACAAGAGGAAATGTCCTCAAGCTACACCCACGGAAGATTTGTGTTGGACATCAGGACAGATGTTTATTCACGTAAAGAGTGTTAAACATTGGAATGAGCTGCCCAAGGAAGTGATGGAGGAATCAGCAGTCCCGGAAGTGTTCAAGAGATGACTGGATGTGGCACTTAGTGCTATTGTCTAGTTGACATGGTGGTGTTTGGTCAAAGGTTGGATTTAATGATCTTGGAAGTCTTTTCCAACTTAATTGATTCTATGATATAAATAGACTGCATCCAATTTTAGTAGACTTTCCCAAATGAAAAAAATACATACTATGCAGTCTCTTCATAGCAAATGCACATGCATACAAGAAATACAATGTATGCATGCATACAAGAAATAACTGAGTTCAAGAACAAGGGGCAAAAAGCCCCAACAAATCTAAATCAGTTATAAAAGCTCCACTCACTAAAGCTTCTAGGATTAATAATGAGCTAGAGACATAAAAGCACTGTTTCCAGCTGATTTCCATTTATGCCCAATCTCTAATTACAGTATTTAGTTGCTATAGTACTTAGCAGCAACTATTTTCTCTGAATGAACACTGTCCTAGACAGAGAGCAAAACCTGCAGCAGCTGTGATAACAAATAACGAATGATTTGAAAGTGTATTTAATATGTGACGTTGCACTGTGTTCTCTGAATGCTTTACTTACTAATTCTATAATAACTCAGATTTTGCCTACAATATTTCTAGCTTCTTCATTGTTTTTATGTTGTACTTCTGCATTTGACATCTTTTTCTCTAGCCTTACTGCCTTTTTCTTTCAGCTTTCCACAAAGCACTAAGGACAAAAAGAACTAAAATTTAAAAGCAAAAAATAAAAAGAATACATTCTACAATTAAGCTGTTTGATTACAATCACAGAATCGATCTTCCTATTACTTTTTCCCCCTCCTTCTAAGACATCAAAGATGATGCATGAAGTCATATAGATATTCTTCAATTCCTCTGCTGGCCACACTGGCAAAATTTTTAAGTTATTAATTTTCTTGGTTTGCGGAGTACATATCAGGGTGTGCTGATTTTGGCCAGGGTAGAGTTAATTTTCTTCACACTAGTTAGTCCAGGGCTGTATTTTAGATTAGCTGGAAATGGTGTTGATGAAAACAGGATGTTTTCATTATTCCTGAGCTGGGTTTGCACAGATAAGACCCTTTCTGTTCCTCACCCCAGCCCACCAGTAAGGACGCTGAGGGTGCACAAGGAACTTGGAGGGAACACAGCTGGGACAGCTGACCAGGGAATATGACACATAATATTGTGTCATATTCCTGCTGTACTTTGAATCCTAACTACAAAATAACGTAGATTTTTCATGTTTTACACAGCATATTTTACTACTAGAAGGACCAATCATGTCTGGATAATACTTTAACATTAAAGCCAAGTTCACTACTTAGCTTCAACATGCATATTATTGGTTAAAGCAAAATACAAACATTTCACTGCTTATTTTGACTATCCCCAAACAACTCTGCTTTTTGCACTTTCATTATCTCTTTGTCTTTCTTCCTTATTTCACCAAACTATTGCTGCTTCCCTTCAGCCTAGTTCCAGCCATCAAATGAGGGTCCAACCAGCTGCTGCACAGAATTCAAGGCAAGTGCATTGAAAACTCACTTTAGTTTGAAAAATCGGTTATATATGCCTGCACTGAAAAGGCAGTACAAGCAAAGATGCACAAAGAAAGGCAAAAGTAGAATATATGAGTCAGATCTCCACCATCTTTCCTTCACCATGGCCCTCATCCCAGGTAAAAGAGAATAAGGATAATGCCTAGAAAGTTTGCTTAGATTCTGACCTTGTGAGCAGGTGTGAGGACTGAATTCTTTCTAATACTTTTACGTACCTATTCCATAGCCCTCATAGAGTTGTCTTTCACGTTCTATTGTCTGTTTGATGACAGTTTCCCGTGAACCATGCTGTCTTCCTTGTCTGCCTTTAATACTGTTTTGCAATTCAATCTGCTCCAATTCAGCATTGAATCGACACATATAACTGAAAGAAATAAAATGCATAAAAGGTAGATGCAGTCATGCCAAAAAATTGCAGAACAGAATTACTCTGATAAATTATTTCACTAATTGGATTTATTTTCTAATTTATTTTCTTTATTTATTGGAGATGCAAGGAGTAAGGAGTATGAAATCTGCGTGTTCAGGTGGCACAAAATAACCCAACAAGAAAACGCATATGATTATACTGTCCAAATCATTTAAGATCCTCCACACACTAAAAAACTAGGGATAAACTTCAATAATTTAAAATAACAGAAAACTACTTATTTGAATAATTCTAGTATGACTATATATGTCTATCAATATTTGTCACTGGCAACAAACTCAACTACTTGATATTATAATTAACAATATATAAAAATCCTCCTCCAAGTCATCATCACATTATTTTTAAAGACAAGTCAAGCTTTTTAATCTTGTTTTTAACACCAGTCTTACCTTTCAATTAGTTCACCAGCTTCCTTCTTTGTGTACTCGATTTTACTGGGATCAAGGTGACTTTGAAACCATTGCAGTTTTTCTCCTACAAGAATAAACTTAATATTAATGGTTATACCACCACTGTAGCATCAATACATATTAGTTTCTCAAAGTTTCTAATTGCACCCCCCATTTTTCAAGATTTTGAATGGCATCACAGACTCTGATACTGTGGGTGCCAGGTATGAAGGAAGCTGTAACAGAAACATTTTCACATAATTTAAGATTTATTTTATACCTCCCTTACAGGAAAAAAAAACAACAACTAGGCTTTGTTTTACTAGAAATTAATTAAAATATCACTATATCAATTACTTAGGAAGGAAACTTAGAGGGAAAAAAACAACACAGTGGCTTGAGTAAGAGTTCAGATCATCACATCTGTTTTTAAACAGATTAAATTGAAAAGCTCCAGGATCAATCATATGGAAGAGAAAAATATTCCAAGTTGTGTCTCAAAGTTTTGAATTTACTTGCTAACGTAATGTGTCTTTTAAACTACATATATCATCTTCTTTTACAAGCAATTATAAAAAGCTTGGAGGCCAAAAAAAATATGTGTACAGATGTACAAAATACTTATTCGGTCTATATTTCTCTGCTGTTGTGTACACTCACGAAAGATTAGCTATGCTCATCCCCAAATTCAATCCTGTATATATTAAGTGGATGTCAGGTATTTAAATGTTTCAACCAAGTCTATTTGAAGATTGCAGAATCAGATTATAGAAAAAGAAGCTCTAACTGGACATCTAAAAAGTTGGTGAAATTTAGAATCTCTACTAAGAAACTGAATACTGTACTCAGTAACAGAAGTTTCTGCTTACCAATAATACTTAAACGCAAAGCTTTGTCAGTCTTCAACCTAGCAGAGAAAAAAATAGATGTGTTAGCCAGGACTGAGGACTATATAAACAACAACCTTAATTTTATTCTCAAAATGTTGGGGTTTTTTTTAGTCACAATGAAAGTCAAGGTATAATTTCAAATAGAAATATTTGAAAAATTCCAAATAATGTAAAACTCTTTCTGTTTCAGCTAGCAGTAAAACTACTGATATTTGTCCAGTTTACCTATTAAGCTAAAAAGGTTTTGAAAGAAAAAAAGATGGAACATTTTTCTCAGTGTGCAACAAAAGTATACTGAAGAGCTGCACTGTCGCAATTTTCTTAAGTATTTCTGATATTCTTCTGGCATGTTTAATGAGTTGGGAGATTTCACTGCATTGCATTCTTGCAAATCACGCATGCAATGTGAAAAATACCATTCTATTACCTTAAAACTTGTAATAATTAAACCTTGTCCTTAGCAAACAGTAAGTTAATGTGTTAAGAAACCAAAATTAACAACTTAATTAAACAAGATGGAAAAAAAACCATCTCTGTCTCACAGTACTTGAATCACAAGTCCATTTGAATCTTTGGCAGGATACTCAAAAGCCTTCTGTACTGTATGGGATGTGGATACACAGTTCTATTTGGGATTCATTTTCATCCTTATTAGGAGTTCTCAAAAAAAAGAAATTCTCTATCAGGAAATCCCATGTTTTATGCTCTTTTGTCCTCAAGGTGTCAGATTCCATCTGCATCAAAGGATGTTGCAATGTTCTGTTGTTTCCAGAAAGGAAAACAAGACATTCTTGGGGTAAGTATGAAATTTGTCACCAGAAAAAATATCCTAGCCATGAATATTCAGTGTATATATTCAAGGACCTCTGATAAAATGGACTTTTGATTATTATTATTATTAAATAGGAAAATTAGTAATATATTATGTAAGTCATAAAGGCTATAATTGACAGAAAATAAATAATGCTAAAATTCATCATAGTTCAAAGCTATTGTGCTCCTTTTATAAAATTCCTTCTACTCTGTAAAATTTAATGAGCATTTTAGAGCTAACTGAAGTAACTCAGAGCACAGAAATCTATCACCTACCACAAAAACTGGGATCAAAAGATAAATGCTTACTTTCCAGAGACAAACACACTTGTGTCACTTGTCCACAAACCTATATTATTAAATGACTAGATTTTTCAAGAAGTATTTCATCCTCTGAAGACTGTCTAAAAGCCACGTACAAGCAAATCCACAGCATGTGTGAACTGCTAAGAATTCCACTAACACATCAAAGAAATTTTTACTTCTATGGATACCCCAGCATGTGTAGAAGAAGCCCTCAATAAAAGCTGGGCAGGCTTTTATCCTCAGAGGATTTACAGCAGAGAACTTTGGACGGTTACAGCATCCAAGAAAAAGACACATACTTCCCTCAGTGGAACTCCACACCAGCAATCCCTGCTGGGAACCCTACAAGGCAACACTGCCAGTTGAGCCTGTCTGCAAAGCTTTGCCATGGAGAAAATGACAATGACATCTAGGAAAGCTGCCTGAATAGGATCATTTTTCACATCTACATTCTAAAACACTACAAACTGCCACTTGCTCTTGCTAGGGCCATAAAACATTTATTTATCAAAGCAGTGAAGTACAGAACCACAATTTTCTTCTGGACTAAAAACCTTCAGTCTCCTAGTACACACAACTAACTGCAGTATGAAAAATAATGAATGATAGGCTCGGATGTTGCCTTATTGTACTTTTTATAAAAACCTCACCTCAGTGACTGCTAGAAGACAATAGCATTAGCAGGGAAGCTAATCAAATCAGGTGAGTCAAAGAAACTTCCTCTCCTCTCCTCCCCTTCCACACAATGAATAATAGCTTTTGTACAGGGAAGGAGAGAGTAAGACCAGGGACACAATCTTGTGGCAGGCTGTTGTTTCTTGATGATTTTCTTCTTCACCCACCTTCCAGAAATCCTCTGCTTAGGCAATGATTATTAATAAGAATGATTAGTGGTTTTCTTGATGTCTACTTTAAAGGTTTTTTTTTATTTACTTTAATAGTAAATTCTACATGTTCTTTCAGCAGCTTTTTATCTCATATACTGTATTCAACTGTTCTACTCTAAATACTAACAATGAATAAGTATTTCCCAAATCAGATAACAAACTCAGTATTTTTCCCCAATAATATCCACACATGCAAATGCCATCTATGGCTCTGAAAACTGAAGATAGGCTTTTCAAAAGAAATAATTTTAAAAGCTAACAGTTTTTTACTTCCTCATGAAGAATCTGCAAGAGCATGTCACAAAGCATCACTGCTGCAATCAATGCAAGTAGAAGCATAGTGGGTCAAGAAGGATTAGGACGCTAGACAGGGGAAAACCTCAGAAAAAGCACACACAGAGTTCTACCAGGAGACATTTTACGGTTGCTTACCCCTAAAGGGTCGCTTCACACCCCATCACTGTAAAACATCCTTAGATGTCATTATCTCAGAGCATGTCAGTATTAGACTGGCTTATCTGTAATGAAAATGCACTGACTCCTAAGAAGTTTATTGTGCATGCACAATAGAAAGGGTCTATTTTGACTCAGGAGGGAAAATGACAGAAAAAAAAAAAGCAAAAAGCACAGCTAGATTAGCTTCAGCTACCAGAACCAGATAGGTATTTCTGCAGTTGCAGGAAAACATGACTGATTTTAGTACATCTCTACTAAAGAAATTTCATTAATTTTCCACTATGGTCAGGTTTCCTAAAGTGTAGAAAAGTCAATGTTCTACTACTGCCAGTGAAGCAGCTATGGCTGTCTCATAAAAACATCCATGTAATTATTTAACAGAGCAAACAAGCTGCCTAAAGGAATAAGAACTCACATGTAGATTAACAGAGAATAAATTGGTAGTAATACACTGGAAGTTGTGCTGCTCATTAGACCTTGAAGAGAACTGAGAGGAGATGGATGCAGGCAAGAAAAAGGTGTAATTGAAATGAACAAGATGATTTAAGATTGTAGCCAATTTTCTAAAAGCAATTGGTCTGTCTCCTCTTATTATACTTAAGATTGGTCTTTTGTTGTGCAGTCACAGTTTCTGGACAGTAAATTTATAACTACTGTCATATTTCATTATGAATGCTTGCAGTGAAGAGTGGACAATGGAGCCCATAAAAGACTTCTGCAACTTAATGCAGAACTTCTCCCCTCTTTTTCCAATACTGCATTTTAAATATTGAAATTCCTTGTGGATAATGTCTACCCTTTTTTACTATCTAGTTTGGGCAAAAGATACTGCAATATGCATCTCATAACTTCACACAATTGTTCTTTCTGTATAACATAAACAGGAACATTCACAGTAGTTATTTCCTTCCCTCCATCCCATAGGAAAGTTAATAAAAAAATAGAAGCCTAAACTGTCTCCAGTCATGAATTCTGTCTCCAGACAAGCACCAAAGGAAAAAAACCAAAACTCAACCAAACCAAAACAAGTAAAACAAAATAAAAAAACCACACAAACCCAAAACCACTCACTGATACTTCTGTATAACATATTCTCATCCTCCAGTAACATACCATTCAAGGGTTTCCTACATTCTATATCTTTGTGTTAAATAGTAATCAACAGATAAAATGTATGTATGTTCAAAAAGTATTACTGCATAAATTTAGCCAGCCACAATTAAAGCACCCTCTGGCAAGGTGCTTAATAAAAATAGTACATATGACCTCTATGGACTTCCTACATCCACTGAATACTTTTTTCCATTCTGCAGAAGTGCACTAGCCTGTACAGAAAAACTACCCCCTTTACTCAGACCTAGTGAGATCACATTGATAATTCCATTTCTAGTTTTGTGTCCTATTCATACTTCAGACAACTTACTTCTACACAATAACAAGCATGGTCAGAAAAATGCCAGATTTGTAGACAGGACTAAGGAAGAAAATTCTGTAGAGATTACAAGGCAGCTTCTATTTACCACCAAATGATGTACTAACCTTCCACCAGAGAACAGGGCTGTCATTCAATAGAAGCAATTTGGAAAATTGTTTAAAGACATTTAATAGACCTGCAGAAGCAATGCAGAAGAACAAAACTGTTGTGAGCTATTTCTTTTTCCCAAGAGTGTAGGAGAGGAAAGCTTTCCTCCATTCACAGCATCAGAAATTTGTCTTGTCTTTTTCAGAGCTATTCAAAATGAATCCAATCCTCACCATTATATTACAGAAACTGAAAGCTAAGTCATGACAATAAAAAGTTCAACATGTATTTAATTCCCAATTAAAAAAAAAAAATACTGAGAATTTACCAAACGGATAATTTAGATAATAGAGATTAAAAGAAATTGGAACCCTTAACAACTCTTTTAAAAACACTAAGGGGAAAAAAACCAAAACAACATTATTCATGTCTTTCAAATGAAATTGCTCTTCAAGCCAAGACAATAGAGGAAATAAAACAGAAAATTGTAGGATGCTTTTCATACAACTGATTTACAACCACAACAAAAGTGATCTACAAAGTACAGAATGTTAGTTAACTGTTCAGAAGTGTAAGATATATAAATCTTATTTTTAAGATATAAAGAAACAAAATCTAAGATCATTTTGCTATCACAATATGCTGTGGATAGTCAGAATTGACAGACTATTCTTGGTGGAATGGTATCCCTATGCAAAATGAAAGGTTACATCTTTTACAATCAGCCTAGATTGAAATAGCAAGGATAGTGCTTCTTCAAAAACATCAGCAACCAAAGGAAAACTAAGGCTAATGTCAGCCTCCTGCTGAATTGAGGGGGACCCTGGCACCAGACGACAGAGAAGGCAAAAATACCAAACATCTTCTTTGCACGGGCCTTCACTGCCAAGAGCAGCCCTCAGGAATCTCTGACCAGGGTTAAGGAATGTTAGAAGGGAAGACTTTCCCTTGTCAAAGGAGGATTGGGTTAGAGAACACCCAGGCAAACTTGACATCCACAAAGCCATGGGCCCTGAGGGATGCATCCATGAGTGCCAAGGAAGCTGGCAGACACCATGGCTAAACCGCTCATGATTATCTCTGAAAGGTTGTGGAGATGAGGAGAGGAGCCTGAGGACTGGAAGAAAACAAATGTCACCCTGGTCTTCCAAGATGGCAAAAAGGAGAACCCAGGGAACTGCTGGCCAGTCAGCCCCACTTAAATCAGTGCAAAGGCAATGGAGCACCTCATTCTGGAAACCATCCCCATCCACATGTACAACACAGAGGTGATCAGGAATAGCAGCATGAATTTACTAAAGGTAAGTTCATGTCTGACCAACCTGATTGGCTTCTATGATGAAACAGTTGCCTGAATGGATGAGGGGAAAGCAGTGGATATTGTCTCACTTTCAGCAGGGCCTTTCAACTTTTTGCTGTTGCAAGAGGAAGAAAAAATAGCACTCCAAGAAGAAACATCAGCACTGGTGTCCATATCAGTGTAACTCTAACCACACAAGACTGTCACTAAAAGCTTTGAATGTGCCATGTCATAATGAATAATCAGTAAGTATTGCTCCCTCACTAAGTTTTCTTGTGCATGTTTTTCTGTATGGTGAAGTCACAAATGCAAGCACTGTGAATCAAGTAAGATTAAGTCACCTTTGTGATTAAGAGCTGTGAGCAGTTGTTATGACACCAGGTGAGAGAGCTAGGGGACAAAGTGGTCAGTTTAGCAGTAGGAAAATAATTTGCAATAAAAATGTACTATCAATAGTTGGAGAGCACAGAAAAGATATGAAACAGCAGGGAAAACCTCTTGTACATTAAGAAACTGCCCAATCAACACATCCTGCTTGTGAATTCTTGCAGCAGCCCTGCTGGAGGCTACATGACCCCACTGTGGCAGCAAAGGTCCCACCTTCTAGTGAAAGCAACAGTGCAACTGCTGTGGATAAGGCTGTACATCAATCCCAAAAATAAACCTGCACAGTGTCTGGACCAGGAGTTTCCAATTTAACACCTTCAGGCAAATGAGTATTTGGGCTCAGCTCACATGGTCCATCCAGACACTAGAGTTTATACTGCATTATATCGTTTAAATAGTGCTATACTATATCTAGATCGAAAATGCATTAAGCTAGCTATAGTAATTTCCTAAATAAACATAATTATGCATAAAAATGAGCAACCTGAGACAATGTAATTTAAAGGCCAGTCTTCACCAGCTGTGTTTTCCCTCTGTGGGAAGGGGAAGTAAAACTTAAAAGCAGAAAAACAAACTTGCCACGGAACAGCACAAAACCACCAAAGAGAAATTAACTGTACAGTTTTATTCAGAAGTCTGTCTTCTGCAGAAAGGTTTCTGGGTTTTCTTTTCTATTAACTCAGCATTTTAGCAGAAGCAGCTAGACTCTAAGCGGGATTCTTACTGAACTAGAAGTAAAGTCAAACTAGGTGACTCACTTCTATGTGAAATCACCAGCATCGTGCTATTCAGATTATCAAAGGCAAGAAATCTGACTTGTAAGGACAACATCCAAAGTAAAGCAGCAGAACTACACACTCTGTATAACCTGATTTAATGCATGTAAACCTGTAACTTCACATGGCCCAGCAAAAATATTAAGTTATGCAGGCCTTTCTGTTTTCTTGTGGTTATATCAGCATAACAGTCCATGTCCAGTACCACAAATGAAAAGTATAAATTGTGATGTTATTCTTTGATCTGAGAGATCAAAACAGAGGTTTTGCAGTCAACTTACTTTTCTTTCTTTTCCTGTTTGTGTACTTCCCTTGCAAGCTGTGCAGCTTTTCTGCTGTACGGATGGATAACTTTTTTCTCTTGCTTCCCTCCTTGAGGTTTTCGTAACTTTGGCTGAAAAGACATCAAAGATACTATGTACTAACAAGGCTGAGTAAAACATGAAAGGGAAGACAGAAGTACACACCATGATAAAGACTGGTAAAGGTCATGCACTGATAGCTAAGAAAGCCCTTACCTTTCAGTAACATGTTACCAATTTCACTCACTTCAAAAACAACAGTACTTGAAGCTAGTACATGCTGTAACAAAACCACTGGAGTACAGGAAATGCTGTAAGGCATCTTACATAGAGACTACTGCCAGAGTATCTGCTTCGTAGAACTCTGCAGCTAGGAAACTAATATTAGCTCTCTGTACCTCTGCAGAAAAATGTCCCCATTCAAGCTTCTATGTGGGTTTCTGACAAGAACCCCATGTAATTTGAACAATGCAATAAAAGTGATTTTCTTGTTCCTCCCCAGAGATCATTGGAATACTTCACACCAGGGAGCAGCCAGAGGCTTTCCTCCTGTACCCCTCCATACTGCACAGAGAAGGAATACCACTCACGAATATCCGAAGCATGGTAATACCACTCTAAGTTATGCTACTTTCTGCTAAGAAAATGTTTGAACAGAACTGAATGCTTTATGAAGTAATATGCTATTTAACTGCGCCCAAAAAAAACACCTGAAAGCAAGGTTTCTTTCCTGCATCACAAGTGGCCATCAGTAAACGGACACTATAGTAAATCCAATTCTCTGCCATAACACCAGTGCTTAGGGCTGCGAAAAAACCGATGGTGTCAAAGACACATTTGTTCGGAGACCTCGGGAAATCTCAGGCGGCAGCACTCCCCCCTGCCCCAGGCGGACCGCGCTGCCCCCGCCGCGAACCCCCCGGGAGGAAATGCAGCAGTTTTTATGTGCGAGCTCGGCTCACCGCCGGCATCGGCCCACAGCGCCCCGGGCTCGCCCCTCCAGGGCCGCGGCGGGGCCGCTCCCGGAGGGAATGAAGGGGCCGGGAGCACCGCGTGAGCAGCCACCGCCGTCCCCAGAAGCGCAGGCTGCGGGAGCCGCACCCGCACCCCCACTCCTGTCCCTGTCCCCACCCCCGGCCCCATCCCCGGCCCGGCACACGCACCATGGCGAGCCGCCTCCTTCCGGCGCCGCGGTGCAGCCGCCTCAGCGCTCCGGGCGGGCGGGCGGCGCTGAGGCGCGGCCGGAACGAAACCTGATCCGCGGCTGGGCTTGAATCAAACAAAGAGTAGTAGTCCACGAACCCGGTGATCGTATGATGGAGAAATTCCGCAACTGGTGCCCAGGCAAAGAAGGAGCCTTGCTGAGCTGAAGAAAACGGAACGAAGTCAAGAAAAAGGCGACATCCTGTGTGAGAAAACCAGCCTTTCCCTTGGCGAGAGAAAGGAACAACCTCTGGAAAGTCCAAAATCAAAACTTGAAGTTACCGGAGGGTGTGGCTCTCAGCCTCCCGGACCCCAAAACAGAAACAAACCCATCTCTGGCAGCGCTGCTCCTGCGGCCCCTCAGAGCAGATGGCGCCTACGCCGCGGGGTGTGGAAAAGCACCTGTGGCTGCTCAGCTCCAGGCATCCGGGCTCCAAGGAGGCACCATCTTTGGGTCTTAGCACTTCTTGCTCTTCAGACGCTGATAAATCTTGTAATGTACAAAGAAACACAGTGATTTTAAAGATCGCCCCTAAACAGCAAGCCCACAAATCTTTCACTAATGTAGATATATAAGGAAAGTAGGATTATCTAAAGCAAAGTCTTCATCAGCTCGTACTGGCACATTACCTGTTTGTGCACTCTCAATAAAACTCTTTCATAGTTTCACTGCTACAGATGGTGGTGACAGTAGCAATTTTGGGTTTTAATCTAATAATTTAGGATGTAGCAGTCACAGACAGGAAACTGAGCATGGAATTTTAAATACTCCATTCAAGTAAATAGATTTAGAGTTATGCTGTCACACAGCAGAGGAATCATAGTTGCAAACTGAGGCATAGCTGTTTTAATACTGTTCAAATCTGCTTGGGACCAGCTGCTCACATTTAACTGAGGGATGCTGAAGAAAGTCAGGCAATAAGGTAAAATGGCAGTGAAAGCAATTTAACTATGGGGCCTACTCATGAATACAAATGAAAGATGAAAATAGTAATTTGTAGATTCTTTCTTCATTTGGGTGAACAACTTGGAGGCTTTAGAGCATGCATCCCTGGGTATGGCCCTCCCATCAAAATAACAGAGAAGAGCTGCTATGGTCTCCACCTAGCTGCCATTTCACAGAAAAGTGCTAGAACTGCTGTGGTCTCCATCTAGCTTCCATTTCACAGAGAAATACTAGGTGAGAAGCAGATGTACAACTGGCTTTAATTCTGAGCTGCAGGACATGGCTGGGGCAGAAGTTGGAGCTGAAAGGTACCCACAGTAAATTTTTAATTGGAACTGTAAGAAAGAAACACAGAATCTGTATACACTTAAATTTAATGGGCAGCTCTGAGGGGCCTTTCAGCTGGTCTTCCGCCACTGACTGTAATGAGACCTCTGGGTGATGATGCATTTAATCTGATGACCTAGTTACAAATCAAAAAGTGTTCAGTCTAAATGTGCATTGCTTTCTAGTCTGGTCTTGTTCTTTAAATAGTTTGTAATCTGGAAAAAGTTTTCTTGCTTTTTAGTACTTCACTGTCTCCATCTATAAAGGATCTTTTGCAAAATGTCTTGACAGCTCTGTGGAATAATTGCTGTGTAAATTCTCCTAAGTCATGTATTTATCCTGGGGGGGAGGTGGCAGATACAGACACAAGAATCCAAATTTGGCATGTTAATAACTGGATCTTAATTTGCATTTTTTGGCACTAATTTTCCTGATGCTATTACAAATGCATTAATTAAAATGAAGGGATATCTGGCCGTGACAATCTTTCTTACAGTGTTCAGCGATGCAAAATGAAGCAGGTTTACCAAGTACAGTTTAATTCTTTCATCCTTGAACTGATTTGCTGTAAATTCTAGTTACTACTAAATATTATGTTAAATATTATAAAGCAGTGACTACAGTATGGTACTTAGGATACAGTACACATACAGTTCTAAGGAGGAGGCTCCGTTATGATGACAAGAGCATGTATTGGCTTTTGAGAAATTCTGACATTCACATGTCATGAATTAGACCAATTGACACAAGATTTAGACTGATTTCTGAATATTCTTTAAAAACTCATTTACAATGTTATAACTACATTAATAAGAATGGAATTTTAAATTGTATTATCTTAGTTGTAATAAAATACAAATTTCCTGAGTTCAAAGGAATCAGCTAAAGGTTAAAGCAATTAACAGCTGCATTTAGAAGCAAGAAAAAAAATGTAATGAGCAAGGGAAACTATATCAGTGAGGGGACAGTGGGCAGGCAGTCTCAGGATCTGCCAAAGTCTGAATGCATCTGTAGTAGGACTTAAGTGGAGAGACACATGTGGAGTTTATTGAGTATATATTACATGTTATCAATAAGACCAAGCAGTACAGTAGAAATAGAAAATTGCAGTTATGCTTCCAGTTGTTTAGTGTATTTTTTAAGCTAATATCTCTGAAGTTGGTGATTTTTGCATGTGCTATTATCTTAATGAATAAAGGATATAGCTCCCTGGTTCACTTAATGTATATTTATTGCAAATTTCCTCATTAGTTATATATTCCTAGGAATTCCAATCACTTTCTACATATGCAGAGGTCAGACCTTCTCAACTAGTGGTGGTATGAAGGAAACTATTGTTTAAATAGAAATAAAATGGGTAAGAATTATGAAGTACTGAAACTAATACATGACCTGTGTTATTTTTAAATCAACCTTTAGGAGACTAATTCAGCTGCCAATTGAGCTCATTGTTGTCACAGTTAGGTGACTGACTGAGCTTCAGCTAATCTGAGGATGCACTCATTGGTTTAAAGACAGACCTTAATATTTGCTGTATCCTGAGTTCATAAATAGAATGCCATTTGCTTTTAATTTAGGCAGGCTTATGCTTTGACATTAAATTCTCGTCAATTCAATGCCGTTGTTTATGTCCACAGTTCACAGACTGTGAACATGAGTGGCTGAGGTAATATTTCTACAAATTCAAATTACTCAAGAAAGCTTTAGATAAAACCAAGTTTTAAAACCTGTGTTCCATATTTTCTAGCATTTGTATGAAATTTTCTTTATGTTTCTTATATTTGGTAAATTTGGGTTTACTTATGCTATTGATGCAGATGCATTTTGCACTGATATCTTAATTTTTCTGCTGACAAACTAAGAAAAGGTGTGATAGAATTACCTATTTATATAACTCACTCTTTCATGCATGGTTTACAATAATTTCTAATCTATATTGCACGAGAAACTACTAAAAACACTTATTATATGCTTCTTTGATTACGTTGCAGGTTACCTATTTCTGCACTTCCTATTTTTTCTAAATGCTTCTACTATTCTATTTCTTTTAATCCCTCCATTCTAATTACACTCAAGCACTTCCTAATGGATTTCTGCTGCTAATCAGAACATCAGAAGACCACTTAGTCCTTTTGACAGAGCCTCCTTTTATCCATCCCTTTAACCTTTTAAAATGAGAGCTCTGGCTGCTTCATTTGTTTAGATTTTGCAGAGGCTCTCTTACAGTGCTTCACCTTTTGCAAGTCCGTGGTAGCATGGGAGATGTATAACATACCCTGCATGTTTCCAGGTTCAAAATATCAACTGTAAAAGTATCTGCCCTTAAAACTTCCTGGAGAAAAGAACCAGAAATGGGCCTACAGAGTAGCAGTATAACATACTATCACTGTATAGCATGGCAGCTTTAGCAAAGAAAAGAAAGTCTTTTGTACTAGATCCTTTAGATGTTCTGTTTTGCAGACACCTTTCTGGACCAAATTATTCCAGTCAGGATGCGTGCAAGTGTGCCAATACACAAAGATTTTCAACAGATTCTCTGGAACCCACAGTTTCCTTGGAGTCCATAATGTGCCCACTGGCTTAAGGCTCAGATAAAATGATCAAAAGTTCAGTGTGGGGGCAGATATGTCTGGGTAACATGCCTGAAGCTTAGAGAAAAAACATTTCTGTCTCTGCCTAGACTTTTGTTTAGCCTGTCCAGACAAACAATTCAACAATACAACCTTATAACCATTCAAATATACCCATTTGTGAAGTTGCAACCAAAATGCACGATTTTATGCTTGTGAGATTTTATTGCAGCTTTTTTTCCTTGATAGTGAATTTAATCTCTGGTAAATTCATCAGACCCATCCTCGATATATCAGGATATTTTCATTATATATACACTAAGAATGGAAAAATAAGGATGAAATTCTCTGACAATACAAAGATGGTTACTGAGTTAGCTTAAAAAAAAAAATGATACTTCTGTGTGAAACAGAAAAACATGAAAAGATTGAAAACTCAATGCTTTCATTAAAATTTGAGTGACAGCATATAATTTTTTAATCTATCTGTCTCATTTGAGTGGTCTTTTTCCTTCTTGTCCTTTTCAATCTTCAGGCCCGGTAGCTGCAGCAGTTGAGGTTATTACATGAACATATTTTATAATATTTTAGATGAGCTGACTCCAGAAATTCAATCTTGTCTGGGATTTCATCAGGTCTCAGGAGGTTTTCCTAAGCTCCTCTAGCAGGCATATTGTGTTGTCAGGTAACTATGAGGCTACAAATAATTTCTGATTTTGTTGCTCATACTGATTTTTAATTCCTTTTTATTTCAAACTTGGAATAGGCTTTCTCATTGCCATTGTTAAGACACGTCACAGTCTTATGCAAAGTTTAAATGTACATGTATGTACATATATGCATGTACATTTATACATTTACATGTACATGTATGCAACTCTCTTGATATTTTCAGTTTAAAAGCATGCAATCCCCATAAATTCTGTAGCAGCATAGCATGTTTCACCTCTCCTACCATGTTTTTAGGGTTTTTTTTTCAGTAGACAGTCTGCATACTTCTGCGTTTCAGACTGAGTCTCCAAGAGTGATCTGGGCATAGTCTAGATATACATTTTCAGGCTTAATACTATATACCTAGTATATTATTATATTATATATTATTATATACCTAGTATATTAAACTACAACATTTCAAATTTGGTTTGACTTATTTGGCTGATTGCCTAGCTTTTCCTTATAAACCTTCTACAATCCTAATAATTCCAGTTATCTCCTTAGTCCCTTTAATGTTTTCTATTTTTCTTCCTATTATTTCATTAGTGCCTATTTAAAGGAATTAGCCTTTAAGAAAAAGAGGAAAATAAGGATGAGCTTGGATTGTTTTCAGCTTATGGTGTGTTTAATTGGTAGAGTTTGGGTAATTTCATCCTCTGCAAACTGTAAAAAATCTCTAAAATCACTTAGACTGAGAAGTACCTCAACCCATATTCAATAATGTGTTTATTCCTTAATATTCACATTCCTTTAAAAAATCATACCATACTAAATAGTAATATTTGTTTTGATAGAGAAACCTCAATCATGAAAAT